CACGCGTGTGTGAGATGTATCTAATGTAATCGAAATTGATGGTGATGAGGAGACGCCCGTACGGTTGTGGGAAAGATGGAGATGGATTGGGCTCGGACTAAATGCCAAAAAATTGTGCACATACCGAGTTGGCATAGGGTCTGTAGATTTACTGGACCTCTGCCGATTTTTTACTGAATCGGTACGTACCGATTTGTAATTTGTACACGATTGGGAATTTCGAGGCTTGGTACTGTAAATTTCAGTCAAATTTACAGTACCAAGGACGTTTACAGCAACAATAGTGGATGCTCTAAGGATGCAAAAATCGCAAAAAGAAGCCAAGGGTCAAGTAAATTGTGAAACTTGAGACACCCAAGGGACGTGAGCACCCACTATACCATGCCTGAAACTTGAGATGCGGGTTTTGTACCCATATACAAATTAAAAATTTGACCAGACCCAGTCACTTCAAAAAAGATAATCCAAGCTGTGTGGATCACATCAATATTTTTGCCCACTCCTGCACATCTATACTCATATGGACATTGAACCTATTGAACCTCACGGGCAAGGCCTGCACCCAGAACTGGCCAATATTCAGCGTCTGGTCAACACCTGCCACACTCGACCACAAATTGTTTCTCGCATGATTGAAATCGGACACAGCATCTCACGAAATACCCTCTCTTGCCGTATCTCACATCTTGGCCTGAGCACAGCTGCTCCTTGTCTCACACCACTTCAAAGAACAGCCGCTACTCCTCTCATTCGCCAATGCCATTGGATGTCCTACGGCCTAGATGATACTGTCAGCGAAATTAGTAACGCATATAGGATCCCTATCATCCGAAAGGTTTTAATTATTATGTCTCCGGAGCTTGGCTGGAATCGGCGTTGTGACGACATACAAACCGGTGCTATTACTCATGACGAGCTTAGAGACATGATTCATCACCAGATAGAAGAACGCGACAGAGATCCCGGAGTATGCACAATGAAGCATGCACTTGGCCTATGTCAGGTCCGAGTCCATCGCAACACCATTGCCAAGATAATGAGAGAGCTGGACCCGGAAGGAGTCGCACTTCGTGGCTCTGGAGCGCTCAAACAACGAGTCTTTCACTGCCCTGGACCAAATTTTGTCTGGTCTGCCGATGGCCATGACAAGCTCAAGCCGAATGGGATCACCCTCTATGGATTCATTGACGCTTGGTCCCGCCGGGTCCTACACTTTGATGTTGGTATAAGCAATAATGATCCTTGAATGATTGCATATCAGTATCTTTTGATTGTCAAAAAAGCTGGAGGATTCCCTGTCCAGACCTGCACCAACCATGGGACCAAAACTATCGGGATGGCTGGTCTGCAGATTCACTTCAGCCGCAAAGATCTTGTTTTAGAACCTACAGATGCAGTCAGGGCACATATATTCACTACGTCCACAAAAAATCTCAAGATTGAGTCATTATGGAGACTCCTGCGGAGACGCAATGGCCTGTGTATCCACGACAGAATTCAAGAAGCAATTGATGACCAACGCTACAATCCTTATGATCCACTAGAAAAGTCAGTTTGTCCGTTATTCTGTTTTTTTAGTTATTTTCAAGTTATATTTTCTTAAGTTACAATTCCAAATTAACAAACACTTTCAAAATCCCATCAGACTACACCACAAACCCATCAAAACGGTTGTTTTACCGGAGGTGAACTTCGGTTCAAAAACTGATTTTCTCTGGTGGGGCCAAACCTTTAGCAAACGCCTTCAGCACGTCGTTTAAAACCCGATATTGGGATATACGCTTCAAAACCTGCTTTTTAGCGGTTATTTTCCTGCTCACAGGTCAGAAAATTGGCGCCGGGCAAATTTTACTCGCCAGATTCTCACATTGTTTATAATCAGGTAGCTCACTTCTATAAAGGACATTAACACCAATTGAATTACCAACATAAAACTATAACTACTGCTACATTAATAATAAATCAGATAGACAAAATTTGCAATAAGATATGATACAATACAAAAATGGTGTTATACATCAATGCATTTGATAAGAAAAAGATTACAAACTGGGCCGAGATAAAAAATTGAGAGAGATAATAACGATATAAGTGATAAATTGATTGGACTGGCCACCTTCATTGATTACCACCTGCCACAGGTCAAGCCTTATTTTGATGTAGTGATTCATCTCCTCCCATATCATCACCAAACTTTAGTTCCAATTTTTTAATCTCCTTTTGTACACGCTCCTCCAACGGCAAGCTAAACTTTGTTTTATTTTTCCTGAGTTGGGTCCAAGTACATTCGCCATTGAAGATATCATAGTCATCGTACAATGCCAAGACAAAGTAACTATAAAACAATAGACTTCAGTAAAGATTGATCATACAATTTTAATCTTGATATCAATTAAAAGAATGCGCGTACGCATATCGATATTGTGTTGACTGACCACGTAAACACTCTAATTTCTGATCCACGACGTTCCAGAAGTTCTGATTATGGTAAATTTTACCATGTGTTCCCCAATGAGCCGCTTGCATTCTCTAGTCAAAGGAAAGCTTGTCAATTTCATATCCACATGATTCAATTGTGATTCCTTACCAGCCAAGCATATCGGGTTTTTCAAAGGTGCTCCGCGGTTTTTATGATTTCCTCACGAACTTGCACTTGGCCACCAATTTGACTTTTTTCCTTCTCATGAAGCTGTTGCAGTCGGTGTTTGTAAGTAAAATCACACATTTGTGTTATTGAATGATTCAATTACAAGACAAAAAAAACTTACTTTGACGATGATAGTATCAATATCTGGAATGTTGCCAGTGCAGGGTGTGGCTTTCTTTCTTTGTGGGAGGTGAATCTTTGTGAGAAGCTAGATGGGTCATCAGAGACTTGAACTTGATCTCACTTGAGATGGAACACACTTACAATGCTTTTGAACTCTTTTCGGGTCTGCTTGCAAACGTTGGTCAAAGTCTTCTGCAATGCTTTTGTCGCTTTGGGATTGGGCTTGGTTCCATATCCAGATGGAAGAAGACAATTTTTCCATTCGGTAGGATTGAATAGGATGGCGCTCTATCCAATTTGTCAGTGAACAGCATCACAAATTTGAAAAATGGTGATCAGTAGGACTTACCATCAACTTTGCATGTAAGCTTAATGGGAGGGTGTCTCCATTACCTTCTTTGTTGTGAGTTGCAGTATAAGCTTGGACATCACCATCCATGATGCACTGTACAGACAACGATTTGATGCATTGCTTCTCATAAGAAACAAGCATCATGATGATTCAGCAGCCGTAACAATATAATAAAGACTAATGTATTGATTGATACTTACTTTCAACTCTGATTTACGTCCCAGCCGCCTACAGTAGAGGCCAGGGTAGTTGAAATACGCTCATTGATCTCTTCAAGCTTATTGAATATCTTCTCGTGATTTGACATCATATCTTGACGTAGGGATAGTACAGTGGCCGCCATCGCATGGAACTGGTCGTCACCCTGTGTGAACTACAGAAGAGATTGAATTTGTTAGTCTGGGTACAAGAACACTCAATGATACTTACGTTACATAGCTTGCAAACAATAATTTTGTTCTCTTCATTCAAATTCGCCACTTCAAAGACTTTATTGAAAGAAATAAGCTTGAATGATGTCATATTGTCGACCAACCTCATGGTTGGCTTCTCAAGCTCAACATTTTCTTCACTAACTTCACGGTTTTCTAACATCAGATCATGAAAAGTATGAGTCAATTTACTTTCAGAAGAAAAAATACATAAATGAATGCTTACTGCCTTTATCAATTGCATTGAACTGATCGAGATCGTTGTACATATCAGAGTCGTTATCTTCATTTCCACCTACATCATCATCATCATCATCATCTTCATCTTCATTGAAAACCAATTCCTGATTGTCATCATCTTCTTCATTGACAACTACATCATCATCGTCATCGTCTTCATCTTCATCTTCATTGATATTTGCATCATCATTGACATCCGCAACTGCGTCCTCAGTGTATTCCAAGCTGCTTTGAATCAATGGGCTGTCATTTTGGGTTTGAGGTTTTTGAGTCGGTTTTTGAGTCGGTTTTTGTATAGGTTTGTGAGTCGGTTTTTGAGTCGGTTTTTGAATAGGTTTTTGAATAGGTTTTTGAATAGGCGGATTTTCATCAATCTGAGTGAGTGATGCTTGTGCAATTTTCTTCTTTTCCTTTTGATATTGACTATAGTTCTTGCGAGGTTGAGATAGTGGAGGTGATGGCGGTTTTTAATTTGAGCCGTCCCCTTCCGAGTTGAGGGTTTAGAAGTAAAAGATACTTCAGGTGGTGATTTCTGACAATTCCTCAAGGTTTGACCAATGGCCGGTTGAGATACCCGCGGTGATTCATTGGCACTATCACTGACTGCAGTAGGAGGACGAGCGTAAGGTTGGTAGCGCGCGGTTCGAGACATTGTTGTTGGTTGTTTTCTGTTGAATTGATTGAACAAAGTGGAAAGAAGTGGATGAGAGAGATGGTCAAGAGGAGATGAAGACAGTGTAAAAACCTTACCTTGAGATTGAATTCATTCAATCGGTGAAAGACATGTAACACCTTCATATGACGTTGTACCGGCCGTTCTGAGGGACATTTCACAAGATCAGTGATCCTTGTGAGACAAAGATTAAAACCAGTAATATTGATGATATGTCATATTCCATGATTGCATTTTGTCGATTTTATGAAGCCACACTGTATACCAACCAATCAAGCATTCAAAATGCTTTATAAATAACTGGATATTGATATTGAAAACTCGTTAACAAAAATATTAAGAAAAAAAATTGTAATGTAAAAGAAAAAAAATTAGAATGTCATTGATGACGGTCCAGCAACTGGTATAGCTGTGTCATCTTGTGACAGTGACTGCGACTGCTGCACAATTTCGATCTGACCAATCCTCTTTCTCTTAACACCCCTTTGCCCTGTTTGTCCCGCTAAGAACTTTTCCTTCTCTTTTTCTCTTTTTTTTTTCCTTTGCATCATCTTTCTTCTTGATTGCTTGCTTCCAATTTTGAATTCCTCCTTGGACAGCTGAAATAAAATCTCGCGGTGTTACCTCCTCAAAGGGGATCTGTGCCCATGCCCGATGCAGTTTGGCATTATAAAATGCCGCCGAATTCAAGATAAAATCACTCGTTGGGACATGAACAACATGATAATCCAGATTTTTTGATAAACGACGTTTGACCATGACTTCACGAGTTCTTTGAACACTGCACTTACTTGCATGGCAGTTGTGTTGGATATTTAAAACTGCTTCAACGTCCTGAAGCATTTGATGATTATTTTCAGACGATCAAACATTTCAAAAGATTTTATAAGTGGATAAGTGCTTACTGAAATATTGATCCAAACCTTCCAATTGGTTTTTTTAATCTCTCGCATGCTATAGAATTGGTCAATATGACCAAGATTGCAATCAAGAGCCTCAACCTTTGTCTGTCGTAAAGTACATCCTCCAACGGCCCAAATCCTTTTAACACAGGCAATTCTTTGGTGACTTTCAGTGTGAGCATTTTTGACTGACACAAATACCTCAGCAGTAACCTTGTGTTTATTGCTCAATGTAATGTCTTCAAGAACCTTCCAGTCATTGGCCTCAAAAGAGTTGAAGATCGTGGTTGGAATCATTTGTTCTGGACCGTCCGGTTGTATTTTTTGAATTTCTAGATTGAGTAGAAGTTAGATCAAATGTGACATAATAATTGGTTAATCAATGCACTCACTTCCTATTTTGATTGGAATTTCTTTATTCCACAAAGAATTATACCCCAAAGCTTTTTGAAACAATTTATTATTCCGAAATATATCTTGAATATTTTTGCTTGCTTGTATGTAAGGTCTTGCCTTATAGTCGTATGTCTTTGATGCTGTGACTGCTCGGATAAGTCGGTGGTTATTAAAGGATTTAGGGATATCTTTACTTGGGCTTAAATGATTCGACATAATCAAAGATTTTCTGGTATTTCCATTGTAACCCTCAGAGTTCTCAGTACCAAATAGCACAGCTGGTCCAAAAGCACGAATAGATTCGCATAGCTGAATTAACATATGGAACTTGGGCTTATTGCACCACTGCGCTGAGAGTTGAGCAATAGATTTGAGAAATATCTGAATTAGTCGATCAAGTTCTGATGCATATGTTTCCATGTCATTGATCTCGGTCTGGAAGATGTATGGTGCAAGGTTGGAGATGGCAGTCCATGCTGCACGTTTGTGATCGGATAAGTCGCAGCATTCAAAAAAAATAAAAGGTGAGCATTGTAACACCATTCAAAACTCTTTGCCAGTCAGACTGAGGAAATGTTGGATCATCGTCTTGGGTTGAATTGGAGGAATCTGCAATCCTGATCTATCAAAAGACCTCCAACGTCCGCAAATCTTGTTTCTTTCGGAGGCAGATGCAGCCTGCATTTGATGGCGCAAGAGGTACTTAACAACCCCTAATAATATCACATGCAACACCTCGACCGGAGTGTTGCGATGACCATCAAATCCTGCATAAATTGAGTCAACATCAATACGTGAAAAAGAGTGCAGGGATCAGTGTGCACTTACCTTTCAAACACAAGAACGGATTATATAACCGTTCTCCGAATTTCTCATTCAAATCGTTATAGAGTTCCACCACTAGTTCATTGGAAATGTTTGGATCTCGATGCATTTCTTGAAGCATTTTGACAAAGTTGATGTTGTGTGTATCTCGCAAACCCCACAAAGATGATTGATCGTCAAAGCGTCCAAAAGATCCTGGTAGTTTGGCGAGCTCCCAAAGATCCTTGCTACCCTTGATGATCTCTGTCCGTTTACGCTTTGGTAGAGATGACTAGAGATAGATAGAAAAGAACATTGATCAGTAAAAAAATTCACTTTGTGTTTAATACAAATATCAGCTTATGAGTTGTAAAAATTTACCTTGTTTCCTTGTTCGTCAATTCCCAGGAAATCACAAACATATTTTTTTGAGCATTCTTCAACCATGCTTTCGGCCCGTAGATTTCAAATACGACAGGGTGTTAATGAAGATGTCGGATTCATTGTATTCGTGACCGCGGCATGCATTGGGGAGTCCCCCAAAGGACATATAACACTGGTCACAAAGCCTTCTGTACTTAGCAAACTAGTATCACTTGTCAGACAAATTTCATTAGACAAGCTTAATGTAAACTTACTTGAGTTCGTCAATCAAAGGATCCGCCAGCTCCAATGCACCGGCGGTGTTTGAGGCTGTCGGGAAGTGGCAATTATATTCCTGATTTGCCAGTTTTGGAGGTAATCCAGCCAGAGTACAGTAAAATGCCATATGTTTGTTCCATCGCTTTGAGATATTTCCTGAAAGGTCGTCGCAGTATAAAACCAAGGGGATATGTTGGATTATTTTACCATTGGCCTTTTGGCACCAGGGATTGTACAGCACTACTTCGGAGAAGTGACCACAAGTTGAAGATTCTACAAATTTCACCAAGGTTGAAAATCAACAAGATATACATTATCACCGATCATAATAATAGACACTTACGATTCATAACTTCCTTGCAGTGATCTTTCATTAAAACACCTTCACGTAATTCTATTTCATCAAAGACTCTCCAGAAATCATCAACATTGATTGTTGATAGCCGGTCAGAGTTAAAAGTTGAGGCATGTGAGAATTCGATCCAAATCTTTTTTGATCCTTTTTTCCCTTTTCTTTGAATATTTGCATAGACACACTTTGCAAAAATATGAGATCCAGAGCGGTAGAAATAGAAAGGAACAACTATCCGTTTGTCTTGCAGTTGGACCGGTTCAAATAGATAGAAATGTCCGTTTGGTTGATCAATCATTTGAACTCTCATGTCTGGATCAAGTAGTTCTTGCCACTTCTTGGATTGAGACAGCCGGTCGATTTTTGAGGATGCAGTTGGAAGTTCTGGAATAAACTCAAGATAATCTCTAACAAAGGGATTCGCAAGTTCCTGAACCATGATACAGTCAATTTATTAAGATTAGGTATCTGATTCTAGACAAAATTCACCTGTTTTAAGATATCCTTGACTCTAAGGCCAAAACACACTTTTTCCAGAGGGCTCAAGCTTTCATAGACCCTGAATTTGTACTTTTTTTGAAGCCGTTTGCGAAGTCGCTGCAGGGTCTTATATGCAGGCAGCTTGACGTTAAAGGACAACTGCGACATTGTGGTACGTGTGGTACCTAGAATCAGAAGCCCAACAAATTGCTGTGCACCCAAGGGAATCAATAAGTAAGAAGAAGATGAGAAAATACTCTGGGAAACTGAGAAATGACGTGCCTCTAAACTGGAAAAAGGTGCCCAAGAGGAGTCATCATCTTCCTCTGAGGCCTCTGAATGAGGTTCATCCCCTTCTGATTCATTGTCTTCATTGTCAGAATCTGAATCAATTAATCCTTCACCAATAGGTTCGTCCTTGTAACTATTGACGTGCTGAACCGGTGGTCGAAATAGATTGGAATGATCTTGAGCCCACAGGTCAATGAGTGCTGCGTTGTTATGGAGTTCAGGCTCTGAGTTATCCTGATCCAACACAATATCCGAAAGATCTGGGATTTCAGGATCGTCTTCATCACAACCTGCCTGGATTTCGATTTCAGGTTGCAAAGGACCTTGATTTGACCTTGAAGGTAGAGTGGCAGCTGCAGCTGCAGCATCATTCTGCTCAGAAATCCATTGAGCAAAGTGTTTTAGATGGTTTGGTGTTTTAAGGTGTTTTGCAACAGAAGCTGACTGCATCAATCGCCTGTTTGGACACGCCAGACAACTGAAGAATGATGCCTCTAGCTCAACAATACCTTGAGAATGAATTATACAGTCAGCTTATGATTTGAAGATGCTCAAAGAACTTTGAAATAATTACATTGAGGCAATGGGTCCATTGTGAATCAGAAAGAGATCGAGTCAAAGGTATGAAGGGCAGAACTATCAAATCAACCACAGAAAGATTCAACAGTAAGCTTATTGTTATCAAATTCATTGAATAGAACATTTTCAGACATTTCTAACAACTGCTTACGTTTGATTCAAACAAAGGTATCTCTTTGAATATACGTTCAAAAGATCCAAGGAAGAAGGGTATTCAATGCCAAAAAGATACACAGTTGCAATTGGTGTGATTGAGTGGCGATTAATCAGCCATGGCAATATCTGAAGCGGAACGAATGCCTGGAGATGCCGATGTGAGTAGATTCGATTTTGTGTTGGTTTGATCAGACTGATGATTGTTCTCACTCCAGTTGAGACCAATCAAAAGTCACAAGGAATTGGTTTCTTGACCAGTCAAGATTCCAGAATCCTTGCTCTATGATCTTGATTGCTTTGATCAAAGGAAAGAACGAAAAGGAGAATCAAAGGTAATTTGTGATGATCGTTTGGCAACGTCCTCCGATGGATCGAAGGGGAATCAAACAGCTTGGTGGTGCGAGAGTGATTTTTTCGATTTTTGATAACTTCTCATTGAGATTTGAAAACGGACTTGAGATCGGCGATGAAGTGCTGGAAATCGGTTGAAACTCGGGATATGAGATGAAACATCAACTGAACGCTGATTAGTGGAGGTGATTCAGCTGGAATTGGTGAAATCGGATGATTTACGGAAATCGAAGTGGTTGACTGGTGGTTTTTTGACTTCCGGCCAAGTACCCGTTGAATTGGTGGTATCTCGGCCGGAAATCAGCCATCAAAAAACCGGTTGTAATTTCAACCCCGTGGTACCGGTTGCTCAACTTAAGTTGGACTTGTGGTGCAGTATTCCTTGATATCGCTGTACCCCTTATACAATCCATGGTGAACGAGTATCAAGTCGAGAAAAATACCAAAAAAACTCGATACAACAGAAACTCAGCTCTTCCAACAAGTTGCCGTCCAAATGTATCTTATTATAATCCGGGTCAATTTGGTGGAGAGCAGGGACTTACACCCATTTCCTCTGCTGAAGTTGATGAGATAATCCAGCGGCAATTGCCGGATCTGGAAATGATATTGTATATCTCCCCACGTCGTTTGGCCAATCACATCCAGGAAGCTGCTCAACGGCTAAACATTGAGACTGAAAGAATAGACTTAATCACCGTGTGGAATTGCCATGCAGCTATAGTCCATGAGCTGCACAATTCGTATCCCAAACTTTATGAAGTTGTGGATGTTGATGCGCTGTGGGAAGAGTAAGAGGTATCATCTATGTTTTCATCCATTCCCGGTGTACAAAGATAGCTCTTTGGATTCAGAATGTACAGCTGACTTGAGTCAAAATAACATTACTGATATGATAATAAAGTGTTGAAGCTATTTTTGGTTGAAATCCAGTTAAAAAATGAAACTTTCATTTACATCAAGACAAAGGAGTTAGAAATCTTGCAAAACTTGTGGTCCTCGTTGCTTCATCTAGTGCAATCAAAGCCACTTCGGGAGTGATGAATAAAGCCAATCAGCTTAATTTGATGGTCATTCAGCTGAGGAGTTTCAATTGCATGTTTGTTTGGGTAGAATTCTTCTTTTAGAACTGAGTTAGTCAGAGTGAGATCATATACTTCTGTAAAGCATGAAATAACACGATAAATCAAAAATTTTAAAACAAGAGCTTTTGAAAAGTAATGTTTGCCCTTCTATTTCTGAACCTCGCCAAGTCTCATCAACTCGCCTTTGTGAGATATATATATTGCTTTATGATATTAAAGGCACTGTCATCATCGTTGAGACGTTTCTCGACTCATTCTTTTATGTGTTTCATGTTTCATGTTTCAGCCATTGCCAAAATAATGTCACCCGACATTTTGGAAGGTATTCTTGATTGCAAACAACTGCTTTTGAGTAAAGCCCAAGTATTGGTGAGAGCAGTCAAAGATAGATCAACAGTCATGCGTACTCAATTCTTATCTGAACCCAAAGGAAACGGGACAATTGAAAATTATTGGAATCTTTATGATAAGCACACATACATGTCCAAGCAGCAAAAAGTCTGCCGACCTATGACTCTTTTCATTTATGTTCCTTTCCGCTGACACCCTCTTTATTTGTCTTTCCCTAGCATCGGGTTGTACTTCAATTGGTCGGAACCGATTCAGTGGATTGGGTTCTGTTCAATGAGGAGCCTGATCTGGCTCTTTCACCCATGGTCATCATTCAAGCGAGCTTCAATGATCCCAAGGATCCAGATTGTGCTGTAAGCCTAAGAACAAAACCAGGCTACAATGCCATCAACAATTAAGAAAGCGTCAACAGAGGCATTGAGCAGTCTTGTAATTTGAATCAGTCAAATCACATTTTCTCTTCATTTTCTTTCCGCATTAGCTTTTTCCCTTCTGCCTTGCAGCTATAAAACTTATATTTTCTTTAGTTGAACTATACCAAATGGCCGATATTCCCAGTAAGCCCTATTCATCTTCTACAAATTGTCCAACTTCAATCTCATCACCTTCTCGCGGTTTCCAATCCCAAGCAGCAAGTAGTAGCACCTCAACAAGTGTTAATAGCAATGCTGCAGCACAACGCTTGTTTGGCAGACACCAGTGATCACCCATCCTACATCATCCAAAGTACCTGCTGTACCTACAATACCTGATATACCTAACACAAGCAATAGCCACAATGTAAAGTCAAAGTATTGCATCTCCCATCAAAAGTATCAAAAAGATGTGCTTTCACTTGAAAGTCATGAACTGCATTTTGCTTCTGCTTTTCACGAGGGACTATGAATACTCAAACTTCTTCACCAAATCTCCAGCCCCCATCTCATCAGTGCATCAGCCAATTGTTGAAGTTTGTTATATGGCAGTGTGCCAACATTCATGAACTCTTCTTTTGCATTCTTCTACTCATTATCATCTTCATAAGTTTTTCTAAGGGATGCTTGTTGAATGGCGGTGCACCAAATCAATGAACTCTCTAAATATCAAGTTTGGGTCAGCCCAGTGATGTTTTTTGGACAGCAGTGTGCTAAGAAAAACAAACTCTTGGGTTTTTCGTGGGTGGGGGGGATAAATTTGGGTAAGCGCGTCAGCAGGTGATGTTTGTTGGAAAGTGGTGCACTCAAAATAACAAACTCTCTTTGTTGAAACCAATGAGTGTATTAATCACTAGAAACCTTTTCATTCTTTTTACTCTCTATTATTTCAGTGGATGTCTTGTGGATGTGTGTAAACATTGAAGTGTCTAACTTGTTACTTTGTATCTTTAGCTCAATTGGACAACTGTTAATGAATCACCACCGGGCACCGGGCTGAGTATTTTCTCATTGAATATCACATATACTTTTATTTTATCACACCTTATTTTTGTCAATCCAGCACATACTTGACTACATACATATCCATCACCACGTATCCATACGCCCTTTTGGAAAATGACAGAACAGGAAACAAACACAATTATTGATTTACAAAAAAGGACAAGCTGCTTCTGAACAAACGGTATGTAAGGTTTGTGTCATTTGGAATCATTGCTTGGTTTTAACCACCGAATGACCCACTTGCTTGAGTCAAACAGCCCCCATCTGAAACACTGTTGTCCAAACTTACATCATGACCACCTTGCATTTGTTGCATACCAAACAACCCCATGGCTGTACCCCGTGGTATGTGTAATTCTGGATTGACAGGAAGCAAACCCAGTGCTTCACATAATGGTGAACATACATGAGAATTGGCAAAATGCCATACACCCTTCTTGCTTGTGTTTTCTGCTGACCACCACATCTTTGGACTGTTCAGAAGAGATAGGGGAGAAAGTGAAACAATTTGTCTCAGCTCATCCAACCAATGTAAGTCTAAGTCAATATATGATGACATACTTGCTGTCCACCATCTGGTAGCCTGAGAGCAGATTTCCGTCAGCAGAGATTTCACTCAATAAAGCTTCACCTTTGTACAAATGTAAAGTCCAGTGAGACCAAGCATGCAAGGCCTGAAACAGCGGATCATTCTCTGTGTGGGTGAGTTTTGATGTTGGGCTAACATATTACTTGGGTGACTTGTTGTCCGCTGTCTCAATCATCCATAAATCATTAGGCAAAGGTGATGACCACAAATTCTTAGAAACTATGAGGAGTTGAGCAACCTAGAAGCAGAACACAATAAGTGACCCCATATGAAATGTAGTGTTAGTCATTTTCAAAACTGACCTCTAACTCTTTTATAAGCTGAGCTAAAGGCGGAGGCACCTCAGCCTTTCCGGCTACAAAACTTTGGAAGTCGGAGAGAAGTTTGGCAGCCTGGACATTCATCTGGAACTCTTCCATATAGTTCAAAAGCTTGGTCCCTTTCAAGTGTCGTCTCGCCACAATATTGATTATAGAACCTTCAAATAAGATTTGTCCACCATGCCGGTCTTCCAGCCCACTTGAAGGGAATAGGTTACCTTTGTCAACATGGAAGATTGCTTGCCATGGTTTGATTGATATTTCCACTGCTTTCAAACTCTTGAACGTCGGGTCACAGTGAGCAGGACACTCAAGGCTTAGGTCCGGATCTTGTGTCACGGGTTGCAAATGTAACGCAAGCAAGACCGCGTTCTTCCCAAGCAGGGCTTGTGTGGAGTTTGCCCAGGTAGTTGAGATTGGAATAGCAATCTCCCCCAAGAAACGTAGGTCGGGGGTACCGTTATCAGCAGATTGTAGGTCTACAGTGAAGCAAGAAACATCAAAATTCATATTAATTTGATTTTTTAATGTTTCAGACAAATCAAAACATACCAGACCCAAAGATGCGTGAAATAAATGACATATCTTGCACAACAGGCCGGTTGACAATCATGCCTTCTAATTCTCCAGTCACAGGGGCATCAGTAATGGAACCCCAGAATGGTAGGGTGTCATTTGATGGGTTGAACCACCAGGATGGAATCTTAGATCCCTGGGATGTGACACTTAGATTGCTGGTGGCCTTTGATCGGAGCTGATATGGTGTATCAGTTTCTTGAAGGGATAGTCGAAGAGCATCTTGTACCCGCTCAAATTCATCGTCGTCCTCATAGACACCTGAATAGAATAGAATGTAATAGATGTCATCTTAGTGACATAAAGATTCACCAAGACGTCAAACTTACTTGAACTTTCACTCATTGCTGCCGTTGATTTACCAAAGTCTTCTGGCTGGTCTTCAAGGTATCCTTGCAACGAAAGACCCAAAGAGAATGCAGTCAACCAATTGAAATCGGCTGATGTGACCATTTTTAAATACAACACCGGAGTGAATATTAGACTAATGAGACATTTTGGAGCAGGACCCCGTTGAGCCTTGTGGTTGGCCAATTGACTGACATGCGCTTGAATTTGTTCATATGACATGTGATCTCTTCCAATACCAAATGAAACGTATGTGTTGGAAAATTCAGTTGGTATAGGAAAGATGTGATGCTGGCAACCCAGTTCTGCTGAGGGGAAATCTATACCAACGCAATATTGTGTAATGTCTGCCCAGGCAGCTCTAGCAAAAGGGCCTGGCCAACTTTCGTCCGAAACAGTGATCAAGTTTGAGTATGTTCTGACTCCATTGTCTTGTGGACATTTGATTGGGACGGTAGAAATGACAAGTTGAGCGGTGACATTCAGTGTATGAGTAGCCAGACCGGAAAAGCCGCCTGGTGTTGCTTTGGCGCCACCCCCTCTATGGAGACTGCTGGAACCGACTTTATTGGATTCTGCACTGTCCAAACGTCGTTGGCGTCCCCAGATGTTTGACTGTTGTTCACTCACAAGGTCAGGGTGTTGTACATCAGGAGGACCTAGATTTGACAGACGGAATTGAGTTAAATTATTCATGCGAGACAGTTCAATGTAGGTTTCGGATGCCCGAGGACGTTTAGCACCAAGGTTTGATCCTAACTGGGAGGATGGATCCACATTACATCGGGGAAATCTTTGCGGAGCTGGCGAGTTCCCAAGGTCTTTGGCTAAGCATGGGCAACAGACAGGCGGTGAACCAGTGAGCTGTGGATACCCGATTGAACATGAGTCACAGTGAACAAGCTTGACCCCTGGAGTGTCACGCGCTGCGATACAGTAACCACAGAATGTGGTGCAGAGGCCTGGTATCAACCGGCTGCAAGAAGAGCAATCAAGCTTTCCGGGTGGGGGTGGGTCCCAGGCGTTGGCAATGTGAGGTGACAAGGTGTTCATGGTTTGAAGTGAGATGCACAATTTTCTAGAATCACTTTTGAAAAGCTCATTGTCTACAATTTATCATCAGGGAAAAATGTGGTCAAATCTTTTGTAAGCATCCTGGCTTGAAAGATGCATTCCATAAGGGGAAGAATGGTTTTGAGGGGTAGTTTGGTCAGCAGCTCAAACATGATTTTGGAATGCTTGATCACACTGCCTAGTGGACCTTTTCGGAAAGACAGAACAGTGCGGTTGTGAATTGGATACTTTGGTAGCAATACAAATGAAACACTGGGGATTTGTTTGTAGGCATTCCAGATAACAGGATTCCGACACATCCAAATATGAAATCACATGATCTTGATATGTGATGTTATGATCACAAACCTAATGACCAGGATGAACATCGGATCACATTTAAAAATTCATTGATTTTGATATATTCCCTTTTGATGAGCAAATCAAACCATATCACCACAGCCCACAAAGCGGAAAAGTGCCAGGCTGAAAGCGCGCATGCAGCCTTTGGCGTACCTTTCCACGCAAGGGTCCCGTATCATCAGTGAACTGAAAATTACAATGAGCTCATTGATCAAAATACATAAAACCGGGATAGTCCATTAAGAGTGCAGCTGGGGTTTAAAAATTTGAATTGAATCTGGTCAAGGTGTAGACCTCAGTGAACTGAAAATTACGATGAGCTCATGTATCAAAACAAAGAAAACTGGAATAGTCAATTGAGAGAGGAGTCAAGGTTTTACGCATTGAATCTGGTCAAGGCGTAGATAATGCCTTGGCTACTCATAATAATATGAGAGCAAAAACATGAGGGGCCGAAAAAGGCTGGACATGTGACAAAAAATTGATGGCAAGCAGGAAAAGTATTATATAAGTGTCCAAGTCCATGGGCAAACATTGATATTATATTCTATTCACACAGACCATTTTTACTTCATCATCAAATACCAAGCTTTCTATTTTAAGCCCCTTGTCCAGAACCTTTTTTTGAGATCTTATTGTACTTGTCTTCAACAGCTTTTCTTTTGATTATCCCATCCACTTAATGGCTCCTTGATGGCGGCCTTTGAAGACGAATCAAATACAAGTGAGTATTTAATTGCGCTTGTTTTTTTTTGAATTAATTGACATTTTAACGACTCATGAATGAATTTGTTTTGACTTGTCTTCAGCGCAGACAAATCCAATATGAGAACTTCCGTTCTTGCACTTTGATGAACAAGGAAACCAAGTGGAAGTTATCAAGGATAAAACTCTTGAAGACTGTGTGGGATACAGTGAGTTCACACCTCATTTTTGAAAGATAAGCCACCTCAACTGATGTTCTGCGGTGATTTCTTGTGTGGTTGGGACCCAGTGGTTGTGGAAGATCATCCAGAACCACCTTTGTCCATAGGCTGGACTGATTGCAAAGTCAACCCACCCATGGACATTGTGGCACAGAGACCCGGCAACAGATTTGCTTTGATGATTCTCCTGCTCAACGATGACTACGATGGTGTGGATCCAACTTACGAGTTCTACCATACAAGAGTGGATTTCAGAGTCAATGAACATGAGCTCATCCATAGATACAATTTCCGCGCAAGATACTCAGCCCAACTTATTTTTGATGACAACACAGTCTTGGAAGTAGTTGCTCAAAAGACTTTCACCGGCAAAGGTATCACCGTGAATCTCCCCCATTATTGCCGAACAGCTCAGGTTTTGCTTCTGGCCACTTGGCTGGTAGCCAAATTCAAGGAAGAAATGCAATACATGAATTTGACCAGTCCTCAACGCAAATTGCTGCAGTCTTTACGAGTTCATCCCGCTAACTACCACAAAAATAATGTGTGTCCATCAAACTCACAGTGCTTACTCTCCGTAGGTTCTGTCACACTGTGTAATGTATGAAAAAAATCCAAATGAACATCCTATCCTTGCACGTGATATTTTTATGATTGAAGAGTGTTTGGATGGTACCAGCATCGACCATCAAGAGCATCATCTTGATTTTAAGGCTATAAAGAATGACACTATTACACTATGCCAGATTGCAAATTTACCGCTGAGTTTAGAAAATTAGGCAAACATAGAAAATTATACACACAGCAGAAGGGATCAGAAAAATATGAAAAAATAAGGGTTGCATAGCCCTGCATGTGCCTATCATTTTGCATATTTTTTCATGTTTTTATGGCAGCAGTGTATATCAGGTCAGAAACCCAGCTTTTGTCCAAAACTGGCACTTATTTAGTCATTAATCTTGTGAGACAAATAAAATTGTCAATTTTGGTTCACCATATGTAATTTCTTTGCATTCTGAATGCTGAATGTTTGATTTACAATGTATACATTGGAATGGGCGGTATGCATCCAAAAATGACTAAGGTACAGCAATTACAGTCCCCATCAACAAAGCAAGAAAAGCTTATAAATTGTTGCCGCAATGGTTTTAGCATCTAAATGAAAATTGTAGATCCTGGGTGTGGCTTTCATAATTTGTGACTACCAAATTGATTGGAAAAAAATTGGTGTCTCTGTGAATATTGAAACATTTCTGCCCAAACCTTGGTAGTTTTGGACATAATTTGGGTTTCTGACCAAATATACCCCAACTTCATTTTTCTTTGAAACATCTTCAACACTAAAGGTAAAAATATGAAAAAATATGCAAAAGAAGGAGACATCACAGGTGGATTCAACCGTAATGTTTCAATTTTTTCCAACCCCTTAAGCATTTCTCAGAATTTTCTTCATTTTGGCTTTTCTGAACTCCATGGTAAATTTTTGATTTGGTGTAGTGTTAGGAATGAAAACAATGTGATGTGGGCGCTGTCTCACTGGTCATATGATCATTTCAAGGGACAGGTGTTTCTTAGTGTAATCCATGCCAATGGAATGGTAATCACAGAAATCAAATTCATAGAAAGGTATGTTGGAATTTTTGTCACAACAAAACCCATGTACTGACACAAATTACCAACAGGGCTTATCACGATTTCCCATTTGGGAACCTGGGACGACTTGGTTGCAGAACATTTGAAAACAAACATGCATGCTCTTTTTTGTGTGCTGATCTATCAATTTTGCCAAGGGACCCTTCTTTCCTTGTCACTTGATCTGTTTACAATACTTGGGCATGTTTCCTCAAGACATTTTCTACTCTATTTTTGCTCAGATACATTTTTTCCGCTGGTCACATATATTTCTGACCTGACCATGGCTCAACTGTTTGATACTTGATTGTAGAATGCATTTATAATGAATTCAATGATCAAAACCTTGCACTTCTCTTCTTCAGAGAAACAAAACAAGTTGCACTAAAAATTTGAAATTCAAGCAAAGTTACTCGTGTTCATCACATTTTTCTTGTATAAACTTGTGTAAGTCAAACCTTGGTATCACTACCAAGCGGTAAACCATGGGTAGAAGATTTTAGTGAATCAATTTGTTTGGTAATTGAATGGTTCATTTCCTTTTGAAAGCACATGTGAATGGAGGTTCCAAATTCACTTGGTATTATTTCTTACTTATCTGAGCACAATGTCAACCAAGGAGCCCTTTGACTTTAAAGAGATTGGACAATCAGAACCAAGCCAAAAAAAAATAAGGATGAAGGAGAGGAACAGAGTGAAGACAAACTTCATGAAGGCGCTCATATCTATCCAGACTTTCTTTCCACAAAACCTTCCTCTTTGTCAACACTACAAAAGAGGGTGGTGCGCAAGAAGCTGAGTGAGTTATTATTTACAAATCAATGAGAACTATTTACAATATATAAAACAACTATGTTTATGAAAATTTCAAAGCTTGTCCAATTTGACGTGCACCTGTTCCTCATAACCCTTTATGTGTGCGCTTAAGTACTCCTCCCATTGCGCACAGGGCATGCCCTCCTTTTTCAGCTCCAAAGCCTGCCCCATTCTCTCTAACCTTGAAGAGACTTGGCATGAGGAGCCAAACCGGGTAATGGGGCTCTTGATGGTATGATGTCCGTGCCTGCGGCGGATTTGGTGGTGGACTTGAGTGTGAAATGCTTGACCTGAGTTTTCCAGACCATCTCCACAACACTGTTACAGTCGTCAAACTTGACTCCAACAGCCTAATCAGACAAATAAAATATAGACCCTTCTATGTGACAATCACAGGGGTTCTTGATTATGTCATGCAAGGAACCTGTTGACCTGTTGACTTGGGCAAACATTCCAAATGCATAGGGTGTTGCATCTCTATCACAGTGGGGCTTGTTGTGGAAATTGTCCCGTGTGATGGTCACGCTGGAAGCCCAAACTTGACTATTTGCAGAGCTTTCCCAGGCAGGAGACTCGAAAGAAGGGACACGTGAATCAGTGGTGATTTTGGAATTGGCTGAAAAGGTGGTCATAGAGAGATTAGAGAACTTCTCAGCCCAAAAATCTCTGGCACGAGGTAGCAGGAGTCCGTTTCTCTCAACATCTGACCAAATTCTGGCTTCAGACTGGGATGTTGCAGAGTTGAGAGAATATTGACCTGTTTAAAAATGTTATCATAAGATTGACAATCTTGAAAAATGTGACATAAATTTGACTTACAGGCATCTTTTCCAACGTCGGCAGCTACACCCGCAGCAGGACACCATCCCATTGCCCTCATGTCACCAGAATGTTTGACACCTTGAGTGGCACCGTTGTTCTTCACACCAACTCTTGAGATACCGTGCTGGTAGAACGTGGATATAGAGGAATCAAATAGCTCATATAGCTCCGGATGCATGTTGCTGAAAATGCTGAACTGAGCAATTAGTAGTAGTTTGAGAGATTTTTTATCAATCAACACCACAATTCCATGAGTGAACAACTTCATTTGTGAAGAAAGGCGGTCTTGTTTCGTTTTCTTATTGATGAGAAAAAACTTTGCAGTGTGGGGAGGCCATATTCATGGGTGATTCGTTTCCTACGCAGGTTTTCTTGTTGCATCCAAAGAAGAGTGCACCTTTTTTTGATTTCCAAGTTCTTCTTGATTCTCTTTGCAAGGTTATCTTTCATTTTTGAGTTGGTCTTCCGCACTTTTTTCACAGATTGGGGGTGGTTGTGAAGTTGACTCGATGGAGGTTTGAGATAGGGGGGCAACATCTGGTTCATTGATGTTATCTGTCAGCCCTGGGTACATACACATGTACCCAAAGACTGACTTGTAAATATAAATATTACTCATAAAACCCAAATACAGGTACATATATCTTAGAAACATATGTAACATGTAATAAGATATGTATAAAACACTAATTACATATATACGTAATCAAGAACTAATATGTAACATATAAGATTACATACAAAAAACAATAGTAACATCTCATAACTCAGTATCAAGAGTTAAAAATGCTTATATAGCATAAAACACTTAATGACTACTGAACATAACATTAAGTGTAAGTAATTATAAAAATAATAAAAATAATAACTATAAACCTAATATTGTAACACTTGTGTATATCACAATATTAGGTTTAAAGAGCTGAATATATAAACCAAAACTCAGTTCATCCTCAGAGAAGAAACCAAGTTTATACATACCACTTTCTAAAGAACCTTCAAGAGTTCAATTAGAATAAATATCAGGAGTATTACAAATAGTAATACTAGTGATTCATTCTATTCACCTTGATCTTTCCTGACTAGATCCTAGTAAGTACACTTCACTTCTGGATCCTCTACTTTCCCCAAGTAGCAACAATCTTAGGTTGGTGACCTCCAAGTTAATAAACAATAGGTTGGTGACCTCTAAGTTAATAACCATCAGGTTGGTGACCTCTAAGAGATAACCAAGATAGTGATCTTTATAATCACTCTTTATCCAATTACCAAGAAGGATATTGGAGAACATTGGGATCCTGTTCTCATCCCTTACTTAATTGTAAATCAAATCTCTTCTTTAAGAGTTAACTAACTGTAGTCTGCCAGGATTTGTCCTAGCAGACTCTTAGTTGTTTAACCTTCTACTACTCTTCTCCTACTCATATCATCTCTCTCTCTTTTCTTCTTCTACCCTTGTAACTAGTTATAATCTGAAATATAATAATATTTATTATACTTCACCACCTACCTAGTCCCAATACTACCATTTAGTGAGTGTAGCCTCCTTTTAAAGAGCCACTACCCTCACATTATCACATTAATTTCCAACAAACAGCAGACTTGTGGTGGATTGTTTCCCAGTGAAAGAAATATTTACTGGCAATGGTTTATTGATATTAGCACACTGCCTTCCAACAAACACCAACTAGAAGTTATTGGAAAATGAGTGAATGGTTGATTGGTAGGTTGTGGTATGTCAATGGGAATTTGATTGTATGTGGTGGTATATTGATGTGGTTGTAGTTATATGTGGTGGTGTGTTGATGTGATTGTGGTTATAGGGATGCAATGAGGAGTGTGGTGAATTACTTTTGAATTACTTTTTGGTCACAGGGATTCAGTAGAGACAATCTACCTTTATACCTTCTCAGATTGCTTTCCAGACAAATCAAAAGCAAAATGCAATTGAAAGTCACGTACATTAGCTTTTGATCTGCTTCCTAAGAAGCAATGCAGTACATTTGAGAAAAGATGCTTTTGGTGATTTCAGTTCTCTAGTGCGTCACCAGAGAGTGCACATTAGCAATTGCTCACGCCTGCTTCCTCATCTGTTTATGCCGCAAGACTACTTGAAACAGGACCGGAATGGTCCTTCCTCAAGGAACTTGACTCAAAAGGTTTTCAATATTTGGTCATTGATCCTTGCTTCCTTTCTTTCTATCACTCTACCCACATGACCTCACGTGACTTTTCTTATCTATTAACAAAATATTTGAATCTTGTGGTCTTCAAGCGCTTCAACCTCCTCCATCAGAAGTTATCACAAATGATGAATCACAGCACAAATCACGTCCTTGGGCTCTGGGCCTCATGAGTTCACCTATCAAACTATTTAAAAAGATACTCAAAACACTTGAGTGTATTACGGTGGCTGTGGATGGACATATCGGACAAAACGACAAATGTGCAGAAATCTTGATGAAACATCTCCTGAAAGCCCCGTGGAGCATATCCCGAGCTCAAGTCCGTTGCCCTGATCACCCAAATCACCCTTGAGTCTTGGCCTTTTTGGCTTGATCTTGCTGTTTGGATGACCTTTCTTCTCGCATCCATCGGCCAATCATTTTGGTTCTATCAGTCGGAGTCCATGCCAAGTTTTGCCTCCCCATATCACCGTAAATCACTTGCTTTAGTGGCCTTTTCATAAGAATCCGACTTGTTCCACTCATGACCTACACATGTTGGATTTGAAGCGCTACAATGGTCTATAATATATGATATATAGTCCTCCAAAGACATCATTATTCATATCATTTGTTCAGTAAATCCAACAGTGTGATTCAACACAATGATTTGTTTTGTCAAACAATTGATTTGTCACAACTCAGGTTTCTACAGTAATTGTGAAAAGAAATTGATCTTTGTTTAGTGGGATGGTGATACAAGAGTCTTTACCAAAATTAACATAAGTCCCATGCGGACCTAACCACCAGTTGGGTCTTTACAATGATCTAAGATCAACATTCATCTAGGCTATGGTTCGATTTGAAAAAAACAGTTCAATATTGTAGATCTCAGAAGCCGTATGCTCAGCATGGTAAGAGTGCTATCCGGCGCAACAGACTTCAGCTCGGGATATGCTCCACGGGGCTTTCAGGGGGTGTTTCATTGATATTTTTGCACATTTGTTGTTTCGTCCGATTTGGCCGTCCACGGCCACGGTGGTGTATAGCTAATCAAGGAAATAAAGAGATTGATGACAAAAAGTACAAAAGTAGAGTGAACAATGTTTAGATTGGATTTCAATACCTACAAATTGTTCAATGGTATATCAGGAAGAAAACACAGCTACGTAGTCTTTTCTGAAATCATGGATAGCTTCAAAAGTAGATACAAATGCAGTCAAAAGTCGAGTTGATTTCTGAAAAGTTGAGTTATTTGTTGCATTTCCAAGTTAATTTCTGAGTTTCCGAGTTTTGTACAGTTTGTGAGTTTAGTTACGAGTTTTGGGTCTCAGGGTTCCTTGCATACACTGTATTATTATGATTATTGAACATCTGATTATTCTTATTCATCATCATATGATGATTATCATTCATCATATTATTCAACATTTGATTACTGAAGTTTTGATTAAAATTGTTGTTTATATTATTCAGGTGTTCATTTGTAAAATCTTCATTCAACTAAAACCTTTTAGTAAAATCAACTTCTCATCAAATTAAAATGAAAAACAATAACTTCAACAACAACCACCAAATCCCTACGGGTGATGATAAACCTTTCGACAACACCAATCAGATGATTATTCCCAACAACAATTTCAATAGTTTACAACATGATCAAATGAGTTGATTAGCTTTAAAACTGATGAAGTTGATAGTTTTTTGAGGGGTGGAGTGTTGAAAATCTTCAAAGTCCGTGTTCTAGAACTGGAAAAGGGGCCTCTATATAAGTCGAAGTGGACGTGAAGTTTGACCAAACTTCCATGTCCACACATGTGTAGGCGCGTTCCCACGGGTCAATACAGATGTAGGCGCTCAGAAACGACGCCTACATTGCTTTTTTGGGAATGTGGGTGCTTTTTTCCTACGCGTACATGAATTTTCCTGCATGTAGGCATGATATTCACCCACCTACATGTCAAATCTTAAATTTAGGCGCACAAAAAGTACGCCTACATCTTTGTTTTTGAATGTGGGCGTAATTTCTGAGCGCTTGAATTTTACGCCTACAGTCAAAAAAAAGATGTAGGCGCATTTTTGTGACGCCTACACAATGTAGGCGCTTCAAATTTACACCCAAATTGTATTTTTAGAATGTAGGCGTACACAAATGACACCTACATTGGTTTTTCAGCCTGTAGGCGTCATTTTGAAAAGGAAAAAGTGCCTACATCATGAATGTAGGCGCTTTTTTGGCAGCGCCTACATGGATTCTGTGTGGGCTGCAAATAGCAAGGGCCTTGATGAAAGTTCTGCACATGTTTTCGTCTGCTCCTTAATCTGTGAAGGGCAGAAAGTGGCAAAAACCAAAAATATGTCTAATAGCGCTAGGTAAGGAAAGCTTGTGA